AATGGAGGAGAAATATCTAATTTTGATCTAAGATAAATGAAAAGTGAATGCACATGTCCTTTAAATGCATTCTTATTGGTTTCTCATGATCACCATTTAAAAGAAAAGAATATATCCTAACTTCTCTTTTGGAAGTAAATGAGGGAAAAGTGCAGTAGACGTTTAATTCTAGAGCTTGAGCTGTAGGGTATATAAACAAATAAAAGCGCAATCTACCCTTAGCATGCTTTGCACGAAACTCGACTGATTAGAAATCAGTGGCTATGAATGACATGTGTGAAATGTTTTCAACAAATTAAGGAGAAAAATCGGAACACTACTTTCTTTTTACAGAGGCAGAATCAAACTGAGCTGGTTGTGGTAGCTGCAGAAAATATAAACAAGTTCCTTCATCTAACAAGCATGTGTCGAATTCCTGCTACATTCCAGATAGTGGTTGGAAATGGATAAAACACTCTCTGTTCTTAAAAAATACTATTTTATTATTTCAATTATATATGGTGGTATGTACACTTGAGTGCTGATGTCCAAAGGAGCCAGAGGTGTCCAATCCCCTGGAGCTAGAGTTACAAGTGATTGTGAACCAGCTGCTGTGGATTCTGGGAACTGAACTCAGGTCCTTAACCATTGATTCATGTCTCCAGCTCCACACTCGGCTCTTCTTCTCATGGAGGAAGTAGACAGGTATATGACTTCATCCACTAGATTATTTTAAGTACAGGGTAAAAAGCAATTACAAGATTAAATGGGAGCATTCAGAAGGAAGTATTTGTGAGGAGAGAGAGAGAGAGAGAGAGAGAGAGAGAGAGAGAGAGAGAGAGAGAGAGAGAGAGGGAGGTGATAGGGTTAGTCAGGAAGTTTCACAAAGTATGTGGTGATGGGATTCGTGCTGAATTTGTTCTAGGAAACTCTAATGCCCAGAGAGAGATGAGGAAGAGGGTCATCTTACAACACTTTATTTCTCGATTGTTAGCTTCACTTTACTGAGACAGAAATCAAGCCCAATCTGAGTATGGTATAGATTGCTCTTCTGGTTCTGACTCCCTTTGGGACTAGTGTGATCCTAACAGTCGGCGCCACACTGAACTCCTCTCGGTATTCTTCACAGACAATCTTCTATGATACTTTTTCTTTGCATGTACTATTCCCAGCATCTGCAAATTCAACACCCTGTTTTCTGCCTGCCTAGGTGGTGCTTGATGACCTACTACCTAAGGCAAGGCAGAACACTTCAACCACAACTTCGTGAGATCTCTTCAGCTGCCACCGTATTTCAGTTGATGAAGATGAAGGTTGGTGAACTTAATGTGCACACGCCATTCTCTGTCTTTTGCATGACCTGATGAGATAGGACCCTGCTGCCCAGGCCATTTTGGAAGAGGGTTGGTTCCAACATGTATACTCAATTCCATCAGGAAAATGTCTGAATGCATTTGTTTAGAATCTTCCAAAAGCAACTAGAATAATGGAGACTAAGATAGAGTAGCATCTCCATCTGCTTTTATTATAATTTGGGGTTAAGTTTGCCACAGATCAAAGACTTATATTATTCTATTTTTCTTTTTATCAAAATTGCTTCCAGGCAATTAAGAGAACATTTGTCCCTCGTTGCCCAAAATTAAAAAAAAAAAAAAAGTAAAAGCTGATCCTTTTTAGTTCAATGTTGTCCACTAAGCCTTTCCTGAATAAACACAAACCTTTGGACTAAGGCCTATTGTCCTGGCTGAGTCTCCTGCTATTCCAGGTGGCCCATTATGTTCTCCTCAGGGTTTGCTGCAGCCGAACTACAGAAAACTAAGTTAATTATTATGGGGCTGATATGATGTGCAGAGCAGAAGAAAGCTTAAATGAAGCCCTTTGAAGGGCTATTATTCCCCATTGTAATAGGTTTTACTGCTGTTAAGAATTAGTGCATGATACTTGCCACAATTGGGTGAATTACCTAAATGCTAATGTCAACATCAGATGTAATTTAGAAGAGATATGGAGAAGCATTTTTCTGTTTTTAAATGTCAAAACCATTTCTCATCCATCAGGTAATCATTTTTCAATTTTCTTTTAACAAATATAGTACCTTGTCGGTGCTACTGAAGTCATAATTGATTTCACAGCTATGAAACCATGGGAAGCCAAAGAACCTTCATTATAATATAGAATGTGAAAATATGAATGAGACACTGCTTCCCCAAGAACCACAAGATCAATAGACAAACGCAGCAGACAGCGCCAAACCATGAATCTCCTACAGAATCGTAGCTGAGGATGAATGCCAGATGGCAAAGAAGTGGGTCTTAAGTGACCACCAAGGGTTCAAATGGGTTGCTTAGTAAAAAAGAAAAATGATGTTTTCAATTAAACGTCAAAGACAATTACAGACACAAAAGGCAGAGAGCAGTAGACATAAGTCAAACAGACTGTATTTAACTAACTTAACACTCTGTTAGCAAATTTTTCATTATTTGAAGTTTTGATGGAAATGTACTTGTTCCAGGAAAGCATGACATGCCACACTTGTCATTTCTATTGCATGGATATCTCCTGTCTCCACTCCTTCCTTCCCCACTAATTAGAGATTATTGACTAAATGCCTAACTGTTTTTATTTTTATTGGTTTTATTAAAATACTTATTTGTTTTATTTTGTGTTGGAATGCCTGCATGTGTGTATGGGAACCATGTACATGCCCGGTGTTCTCAGAGGACAGAAGATGGTATAGGATCCCATGGAAGTGGAGTTACAAATGATTGGGAGCTCCCATGTGGGTTCTGGGATTCAAACGCAGGCCCTTTTCAAGAGCAGAAAGTGCTCCTAACTCTGAGCCATCACTCTAGTCCCACCTCATCATGTTTAGCAGCAGTCTTTGGACACTGTAAAGGCCCAAGATCTTCTTGCTGCTTGGAAGACCCCACTGTTTACCCTCTTGATTGACGTTAGAAGTACTGGGCTAGACCCAGCATCATCCCTGCTCACATCTAGATATGCTGTGGCAGTCATCAAAAGAAACTATAATTATGAGTCAGAGGATTATCTACTTCCCTAAAAAACCAAACAAACAACAACAAAACAAAACAAGAAGTAGGTTAATTTAAAAATTTCTTAAATACATTTATTTAGTGTGTGTATACATGTGGGTGCATGAGCATGCTCATGCCGTGGCATGCGTGTTGAGGTCAGAAGACAACTTTTAGGAATTGGTTCTCTCCTTCCATTATATGGGTTCTAGGTCTCAATAAAACTCAGCTGTCTCACTGGTTCTGAAAGTTTTTCTTTTGTCCATACTTTATAAACTGTCATCCCTAGCTAGTCTGTGCCCTAGCTAGATTTCCTGTAAAGTATTTTAAAGAATAAAGCTTTCTTTCCCAAAATTTTTCAGGGACTATTAGGCCAATAAGTTATTAATATGCATCTTATGAACGACTAATTCCTTGGCAAGTGTGTTTGAAAACCTTAATTTGCTTATCCCCTCTTGGAAGAGACATAATAGCATTCAACAATGATGCTAAGAACCCTTGCAATAGCATGAACCCACAGCAGCTGCATTTATTGGCACTGGGCCTGCACCAGCCTGGCCCTGTCAACAGGCAGTCATGGATGAGAGAGGGACACATGGGACCTGCAACAGTTAGTTTTAACTGTTAACTTGACACAGTGTAGACTCACCTGCAAAGAGAGTCTTGTTGAAGGATTATCTAGAAGAGGGCGGCCTGTGGGCATGTCTGCAGGGAATTGTCTTGACTGCCTTAAATGTGGAAGATGCACACATTGTGGATGGCGCCAGACTCTGGTTTCCAAACAGTTTAAGCATAGAAAGGTGACTGAGCACAAGCAGGCATGCATAATTCATTTCTTTCTGCTCTTCTATGGATTTGACGAGCAGCTTCAAGTTCCTGTTGCTTTGACTTCCCTGCAGTAATCTGGGATTGTGAGCTAAAAGAAATCTTTTCTCCCCTTTGTCAGGATATTTTATCACAGCAACAGAAATAAAGCTAAAACGGGGTTCCACCCCTTAGTGCTGAGCTATTGGCTACTGACAGGATCTGAGAGGGGAGACAGTGTTGTCTTCAATTGTGTGCCCACAAGGCTCCAATGAATAGTTCAAACCCCATGGTGACACAGACAGCCTTGGTTAAATTCAGTGAGTCACAAAACAAAAAGGCACAATTGTGAAGGGAAAAATTTGTAAGGAAGAGGGAGGACTGACGGGGTTGGAGGTAGATAAAAGAGGGTAGAGGGAGAGAGTAATCAGGGTGCATTATAGGCATGTGCAAAATTATCAGAGAATAAATTTAATTAAAAAATGATTGCAATTACAATCACTCATTTTTATGTAACTCAGTTTATTCTATATGTATTGATCCATGAATCATCTCTCTTTATTTAATAGCTGACAATATAAGATGAAACTACCATTCTCTAGCATTCAGCTACAGATTAAGGGGAATTTACCAGAGGACATGCAAGCATTTTTGACGTCATTTGGAAATTCTGTGGGTGTTAGAGTCTTCTTGCAGATCTGTGAGTCATTTGTGCAAAAAAATAACTTCATCTCTCTACAACTGATTGCCACCTGCTCATGACTCCCCATTTCCTCCAAAGGGGGGGCATTACTTACACTTTGTCTCTTTGAAATGACTCAGTCTTTTCTGGTTTAAAACTTAATCTGTTTGGATAATTAGTTACTCATTCAGTTCAGTATTCCAACCTAGTCCGTTCAGTAACTCCATCACAACTGCTCTTAACTCAAGACTTTTCTGTTCTGTCTCTATGTTTTCTACTCCCTTGATCCCTTTTCCTGCCCTTTTAATTTGCACTTCAGCATCGCCCCATTTTCAACCCAACCCCTGTTTTTACATTACCTTGTCCTCCTTTTCAGGGCTATGTACTTTTGTAGGAAGTAACTCCCTTATACAAAAAAATGTTTGGCTATTGCATTCTTAGAGTAATTATTGTGATGTATGTCATTGTGAGGCTGTATCATTTAGAAGAACACAAGAAAATATTGTTAATTAAATTTTTCTGATGAAAAGTATATCTTAGAGCTAAAATACATGAGAGGGTGACAGGACACTCTATTCCAGATGAATGAGAAAGAGGGGCTAATTGTGTAGCTCTGTGGTAGAATGCATGCTTAGCATGTGCAAAGTCCTGGAGGTGATGAGAAGAAGGAAGGAAGGAAATACAAATTTTGATATGGTGTCTTCGGGTTTTTATTGCTGTGAAGAGACACCATGACCATGATAATTCTTATAAAGAAAACGTTTAATTGGAGTGACTCGCTTATAGTTTCAGAGGTTCAGTCCATTATCATCATGGTGGGAAGCATGGCAACATGCAGGTAAGCATGGCACTGTAGAGGTAGTTGAGAGTCCTACATCTTGCAGGCAACAGGAAGTCGATTGAGACACTAGGCGGTGTCCTTAGCATAGGAAACCTTAAAGCTCATCCCCATGGTGACACATTTCTTCCAACAAGGCCATACCCACTCCAACAAAGTCATACCTCCCAATAGTGTCACTCCCTATGAGATAATGGGGGCCAATTACATTCAAATGACCACAGATGGGGTCTTGCTATATTGTACTGGCTAGCCTGGAACTTGTTATGAGTCTCAGACTAGTTTTGAACTTGCCACAATCTTCCTGCCTCTGTCTCTGGAGTGCTGGGATTAAAGGCTTGCACATCTGGCTAGAAAGATAAATCTTTTTCCAAATTTCCTTTAATATAGGAAGTAGAGCAAAGTGAAACATGTTGACAATTCCATGGCTATCAGCCATAATGGCATGCCATCACAGGGAAGGTGAGAAGCATCCTAATACAATTATTTTTCATTCTAGTGTAGGATGCTTTTGAACAATTTATTTATAAAGCCAATGAAAGGCCCTGTATATCTAAGATGACAGTAGATAGAACAATAGGGAAGATGCTTGAGGTTTGCGTACAAAGACAAATTAAACTAACCTGTCAGAACCTGTTATTTCCATGCTGCAGCGGCTGGCTTCATTACTCTGTAAAATGCCTCCCATTTGCTTCTAGATCTCTTGTTGTTCTGGAGAGTTGATTAAAAAAGGAACAAACATATTGTGCCCTTAAAAAATTATTGAAAGGAATAGATTGTTTTTCTAAGCCAACTACTACAAAGCATGTATGTTTTATTGCTGCCTGTCTGTATAGTCCATTAAGACATCCAAAACCCTGTCCTCAAGTGGGGCAGTAGCTGCTAAATGATAGGAGAGTGGAAAAAGTGGCTTCCCAGCATACCCACATAGCACTGGGGCTCTCTCTGTTTTCTTTCTAAAACACTCTGCTTCTACTAAATAGATGCCTGTTGTCAACTAAAACCAGAGAGGCCATGAAAGGTGAAGGAAGAAAACCTATATTTAGGAGCTGGAAAGATGGCTCTGGAGTTAAAAGCCCTTGCTATTCTTGCGGAGAACCTGTTTTGTTCCCAGCACCAAAGTAGTGACTCACAAGCATCTGTGACTCTAGTTCCATGGGGTTTGCCCTCTTCTAACCTCTGTGGGCACCGAGGTGCACATGCTATGCATGCAAAATACATACATAAAAAGATTTAAACACACAAAAACCCATATCTATAAAAATTCAACAAATTTCATGAATTTTGAAGCAGAAATGTTTATTGCACTCAACAGCATATGCAGTCATTTAGGGGCCATCTATTTAAAGATGGAAAGAAAGCCCCACCCACCCAGGATGTGTCTCATTGACTTAATCAAATACTGGATAAGTTTCTTTACCATTTCTCAGAAGCAAACACTTGAAACTGACATTCTGACCACTATCCTTACCTAGAAAAAATGTTTAAATGTTGTTCTGAGTGCCCTGAAACTTGAAGGCCTGCTTGTCACTATAATAATGTTGACTATCTACACTTCAAGCCTGGACTATTGTGGGTACCTATGTATAATGGTTTGAATGAGAATGTCCCTCATAGGCTCATTTATTTGAATGCTTGGTCTCCAGTTGGTGGAACTGTTTGTGAAGATTTAGGAGATGTGGCTTTGTTAGAGGAGGTGTGTTGCTAGATGTGAGCTTTGAGGTTTCAAAAGGCCATACCATTCTCAGTTAGTTTTCTCTCTCTCTCTCTCTCTCTCTCTCTCTCTCTCTCTCTCTCTCTCTCTCTCTCTCTCTCCTCTCTCCTCTCTCCCTCTCTCCTTCTCTCCCTCTCTACCTTTCTCCCTCTCTCTGCCTCCAATTTGCAGATCAGGATACAAGCCCTTAGCTACTGGTGGTCCAGCAATATGCCTGCCTGCCACCATGCTTCCCACTGTGGTGATCATGAACTCTAACCCTTTGGAACCCTGAGCCCCAACAAACATTTTCTTTTGTAAGTTGCCTCACTCATGGTCTTCACAGCAATAGAAGAGTAACTAAGACATTATCCCACAATATGGTTTGTGGTAGAGCTGAGTTTTGTATTCTTTTCTACAACTTGCTAGCTCTGTGAACCTGGGCAACTGATTTTGCCTCAATTTTATCACAGTTATAAAAATGACTAGAGTCTATTTGTTGTTATGAGCAAGTATTTAGATAACAGTGTAAAGTCATTAGTGATTATCATTTAAAAATATTTCAGTCTATTAGTTGTATCAGTAAAGAGTAGCAATGAGTTCTCCCTTTTCCCAATATGAATATGTAGTTGCTTGATAAGCTGCGGAATTTAAGGCAACTTTGGAATTGATTAGGATAAACTTGAGTTCTCTGAAGATGGATCGGATAATCTGTTCTCTGTGAAAAGGCAGCCCCAGGTCCTTTTCTCTAAAAACAAATATCCTTGCAACTTTTTTTTGTTCCTGAAACCTACATCAATTTCGAACCTGGAGTTTGTGTATGGGGCTGGGGTGGTAACTGAAAACCCTTTATGTTTCACCATTTCACTGTGAAATATATTGTCTTTATTCCCTTTTCTCCAAAGAATTTAATCTCATCAAATCCTTAAAATTCAATCCTCAAAAGACTGTGAAGAATGACTTTAGTTGCATGAAGAATTCTTTGCCTTTTTCCCTATGGCCTCTTTTTGAGATAGAAGTTCCTCTGTTTTGCCCTGCTTCTGCCCCATACTGAGGTCCTAAACCTGTTCCTTCAATTTACTTTTCTCAAGCATCTCAAGCCCAGTCCCATTTCCAACTAGTCTTCCCAGAAACCTCCTTTAAAACTGCTTCTAGAATTTTATTTAACATCCCTTACCCTCACCTCAGACAAACTGTTCGCTGCTCTCCTCACTTGTTCAAATGGACAGAAATTTAGGAGAAAGTCCTTCATGTGGAGACTACTCAAGCGATCTCCACTAAGAAAATGGTGGGTCACATCTGCAGTTCAAGAGGCATCAGATGTTGGCACACCCCTGTAAGCCTGGAATGACAAAGATTTGTAGCCAGGATTAGAAAAAAAACTTTAAAATGGAAAGAATTCTCCCATTATTTGATGCCTGAGATAATATGCTCAGAACAATGCATTCTAGAGGCTGGGTGTGTAGCTTAATTGTAGAGTCTGTGATAACCATTTACAAGGATCTGTGTTCAATCCCAGCACCAAACAAACAAACCACATTTTAACTGTGAATAGGGACAAGGTTGGAACTGAATCTATAGATAGAAGCCCTAGGGAAGTAGGTTCCCAGGGTCGGGGGTGGGGGAGGGCTGGAGAATGGAGTGTGTCAATGAGGATCAACTGCTGACTTTTCTCCTTTGCACGGTGTCCATCTGGCCCCAAGTTGTTGATTTGTGAGCATGAATGCTTCCTGCTTTGTACTGTTACTTTATCCCTGGCAATGAAGGGCAAGGGGAAGAACAAGGGACAGCTGTTTAACATCCCGCTCTAGCTGCTTTGCTGAGAACAGAGTGGAAAGAGGAATGCATTCATGTTTATTGAGCACCTGCTATCTGCCACTTACCAGGAATGTCCACATCACATCAGTATTAGTCCATAGGCGGGGTGTGTGTGAGAGAAAGAATCAGCCTGCTGGGAAAGAAGGGAGAATGCCAAAAGCCATACAGCAAGCTCGCTTAGCCATCTTGCGCTCATCATTATTATCTGCTTTTCAACAGATGTGGAAGCTGAGAATTAGGCTGAAAGGCTCCCCCAAGATCCCACAGCTAGTTGATGGTAGAGCTGGCTGAGTTTGGGTTCTCTTCTTTTAGTGAGAAATCACACAGCCTTCTTGTAGCAGGACGGCATGCAAAGAGCCATGTCTGATTTCACTTGGGCATTTCTGTTAGTGGGTATCAGGTGTTAAACTGCAGGTACGTGTATTTCCAGAGGAACCCAATTAGAAAAGGAAGCACAATGGGATAGAATGCACAGTTCCTTCTTGGAAGCTGCCTATACAGGCAAAGAAGCAAAAGAATAAAAGGTGGAAAGAAAAAGAGAGAAAGCAGGCATATATATTTTTAGAGAGCTCAAAAGATAAAAATGATAGTCTCCCTTGGAATTTATCTTAATGAACAAGACTCAATCAATGGGAAGCAACAGATAGGATAATTTAAAGTTCAACTTTCCTTCTTCTGTTTCTTTGTATAAAAGAGAACCAACTTTTTGATCTTTATTTTTCCTCAGCTGTAATATTCTGCTGCATAAAGAAGATTGAACACCGAGTACCACATTAATATGTTATTGGCATCTTTCTTTTTTCATATCCTACATGTTGATTGTAAAGCCATCCAGAGAGACTGATAGCTGTAATATATCACAGTTTCTCAACCTCAAATTAATTTCATAACCAGTACAGTAGAGCCAGTTACTCTGTGCTTCAAGAAGTATCTCAAAGGAGGTAATATTCTTTTTCTTTGAAACCCCATTCTAGCTATTTTATTTATTGGATAACCTATCTAGACTGGACTTTTTTCTGCCTCATTACCCAAGGCAGTAATTACCATTACCCCTGGAGGATCCCCAGCCTACATCAGATGCCTCTATGTATGTGAGCCCATGGTGAACTGAACAAGTAGAGCAACACACACACAAAGCAGCCCCCTTCACTTAGGCTTAGTGGTGCACTCCTGTAACCCTAGCTACTTGGAAGGCTGAGGCATGAGGATTGCCTGCCTGAACCATGTAGTGAGTTCAAGGTTAGCTGAGGAATTTAGTGATAGCCGGTCTTTAAACTAAAAGGTGAGAGGAGAATGGAGTTGGAAGAAAGCTCTGTGGTTCTGTTCGCCTAGCATGTGTAAAGCTCTAGGTTAAATCCTCAGTATTGAAAAATATAGTTTCTTAGTCACAGTAGCTGTGTTTGAAGTACTCAGCAGCTACACACAGGTAGTGACTATTATATTGGTGACTATCATATTGAAGAATGCGGACGAAGAACATTACCATCATTGAAGATAGTTATCTTTGACAGCTCTTCTCTTGACTCCAACTGTGTCTGATCTTGAAAGAAGAGTAGAATAGTGATTAGTTTCTGGGAGAAAGGAGACAGAGTTTACAGAATCTCATTGTTCATTGTTACTGTTTTTATATGGTATATTGTTCTATGAAAGGAGCATCTTTGAATATGTAGTTTTCTACAGAGTATTCTCAGTTGTCAGAAAGAATGTAGGGCACCTGAGAAAGTTGTCTACTTTGCAAATCATGTGAATAAAATAAAATGAGATAGAGGATACGGAGCACAGAAAGTTCAATGGGTATGAAAACATAATTAAAAATTTTCCCTTATCTAAGTTCAAAAAAAGTTTCTCCAGTATCTTAATTGTTCATTTTTTAAAAAAAAAATGTTTACTATAACTATGAAATTAATTCATCATTAAAAATAATCATCATGTAAAGTTCATATCTTTGGTTACTATTTACCTTACTTATTTATTCAACAAACACTTTTAAGTACTTGGGATGTTTATCAGGCATTCTTCTAGGCCTTTGCTGGGCGTCAACAACTAACAGATGCCCACGAAGCAGAAGCTTTCACCCTAGGAGGTGGAGATAGGAAACTAGCAAGAAACATCATAAAGCAGTAAACATATGAAATATGTGGGGATGTCTCATGACAGTACGGGATAACTGCTAGAGCTGGACAAGGCACGTTCCCTTGGTGCTTTTGACAGAGGAGTATTTTATAGGTGTAAAATGTAAAATCCAGGTTGGCCAGAGTTCGTGAATACCTAGACACATATCATACCATGTGGTGGTAAGGCTGTGCCAAGTGGACTACTGTCATACACTCTTCATGAAACTTTCTTTTTCTTTCGTGTGTTTGTGTGTGTGTGTGTGTGTGTCTGTGTGTGTCTATATGCATGTGTATGTGTGTGCAGGTGCAGGTGGAGGCCAGAGAAAAGCTTTCGGTGTCATTCCTCAGGAACCACCCACCTTAAGTTTTGAGACAGGGTCTTTCACTGATCTGGAATTCACCAATTAGGCTAGACCATCTGACCACTGAATCCTGAGTATCTATCATCCTAACACTGGGACTGAAAGTGTACACCATAAACATGGATAGCTTTTTACATGGGTTCCCAAGGATTCAAGTCGGACCCCTGTGCTAGTAAGGTAAGCACTTTGCTGACTGAGCCATAACCCCAATCCAGGACTTCCTGTTTTGGTGGCAATAGGCTGTTATCTATTCTTTTTGGTCATACAATTTCTACTTTCAGGCTTATGGCTCACACGGGACATACTGGATTATTTTATACTAACAAAGAACTTCAAAAAATTTTACTAGTTTATAACCAAAAGGTTGTTTATTGTTCACTTTGTATGTATACAAGTTCACCAAAAGTCTTGTTCATGGAGCTGCTCATAAATAGCTCAGCACTTAAAATTTGCCTATGCTATCTTATGTTCCATTCCTAATAAACCTGGAGGAGTACTAGCCCTAATCCCCTCTATTCTCAAGTAAGAGCTAGGCCCAACAGTTCTGGAGACTGAGGCAGGAATATCATGAGTTTGAGGTGAGCTTGAGCTGCACAGTACGATCCCATATCAAGCTGGGCAGTGATGCCACACACCTTTAGTCCCAACACTTCGGAGGCAAAGATGAGGATCTCTGTAAATTCCAAGCTAGCCTGATCTATAGAGTGAACTCCAGGAGAATTAGAGCTACATAGTGAAATCCTATATGAAAACAACAAAACAACAAAATTTGTCCCAAATCAATACAAGAAAATAAAATGATAATGCTCATCAGTATGAACAAATGTTGGATAAAAATATGTAACATATTCAACAAACAATGGCATAATTCATAGCAACAGGCTATATAGCCTCTCATAATATAGGAAAATCTCATAAATAAAACGTTGAATGAAAGAAACCACATATAAAAAATTATATATAGCACACAGAATTCTAAAGTGGCCTTCCAAGACTCCATGAGCGCAGTATGGATGTACCTTGTTTTGGTTGTTCAAGGAAGCAGGAAAAAGTTTAAAGATGCAATATAAGCTTCACATCAGTTGCCTGAACAAAACGAGATTATATTCTGGTAATTCAAATTAATCTCATGGAATTTTAAAATGAAATGATCAAAACTTAAGTAGACACTTGTATGGAAATGTCAAAGAATACAAACATTTAGAAAGAAATTTATTTTAAAATAGTTATGTGATATATATATATATATATATATATATAGAGAGAGAGAGAGAGAGAGAGAGAGAGAGTAATTTTGCCATTTATTAAAGATGAAAACAAATTTTCACTCAGAAAAAGAGCAGAACATATTCTTGGGCTGCTGACATGGAAAAAATTGACATATTGGCCTGAAATTGGAAGAGGTCTTGAAACAAGGAGTGTTGGTGACCTCTAGTTGCTCACACTGACCTCAGTACTATAACTGCAATGAAATGAATTCTGCTAAAAACCAGTGGGATTGGACGAGGACCTCAACCCCTAAATGATACCATAGTCCTTTTTGACCCCTTTATTTAAGCCCTGTAAGGCCTTGGAAAAAGAATCCAGCCACATTAGCCTTGGATTTTGACATACAGAAACTGAGACAATTGATTTCTGTTGTTTTAAGCTACAGAGTCTGTGGTAATTTGTTACTCAGCAATATAAAACAATTGCACTGTGATTTGATTTATAGAAAGCACAAGACAGATAAAACTAATCTATGATGATATGGATTACTGTAGTTGGATTTTTCTTTGGGCTGCCAGCTCTCAAATAATGACATGGAGACTTATTATTAATTATGAAAGCTCTGCTTTAGCTTACTTAGGCTTATCTTACTAGCTCTTATAACTTAAATTAACCCATTTATTTTAATCTATGTTCTGTTGTGTGGCTTGTTCTGTCATCTCTCTCTACTGACCAGGCTGCTTCGTCCAGAAGGTTGGTGACTCTGCCTTCTTCTTCCCAGAGTTCTCTCTCTGCCTGGAAGTCCCACCTATACCTTCTGCCTAGCTCTTGGCTGTTCAGCTTTTTCTTGCACTAATCACAGGAATACATTTTCACACACAGTGCAAATATCCCACAACAGATTGCAATGACAACGTTTGTTGATGTTAAGGCTGATTAGTCATGTATGTTCACTTTATGAAAATAAATCACCATATACTTATCCTGTGTTCACCTTCCTTTATGTATATTACATTTCAATAAAATATTCAAAGCATACATATGAAACATATATTTTGCTTTAAAACAACTACAGGTAGGCTAGATTGTGTAATTTTTTGCCAGTGAATTTATTTTATTTTAAAACTTTCCCAAAATACACTTGCAAAATCACCCACATACTGGCCTTAAGGATAGCCTTTACAAGAGATTTTATAAATTTATTTTTGCTTAAGATATTTATTAAAGCGCACAGATTTAAAAGATGATAGAAAAGAAAATATTAAGTCAGTCTTCAAAAAGGGTTAATCCGTATTGTGTTTTCAGTTATGAATTATTTGAATCATTAATAACATGGAGCTGGAGATATAGCTCGGTTATTAGAGTGCTTGTTTAACATGCATGAAATCCTGGGTTCAATCCTTAACCTGCATAAACTAGGCAGAGTGGCATACACTTGATATAATGAGACCCTGTCTCAAAAATAATTAAGTAGATAAAAAAATATAAAACTGGAAACATCAAAAAATCATAAAGATAGAAAAGATTGTAAAGCTTATGTGGAGTTGCAATGACTTACTTAGGCCCAAAATGCTGGTATAGACATTCACCTGGGACTGTGATTTGAAGAAAATCCTAGACACCTCTTTTACCTTGTTCATTAGGTGGCTACCTCTTCTTTGCCAAATCCTGTAACAGATCCTTTACATGCATTGTCTCTAATTTCTCACATATATTTTGCAAGGTGGCTGATAGGTATCATCCACATTGTTCAGGGAAGAAATGGAGGCACTGTTAGCTGAGGCTTCAGGCTACCAGCGAGTAAGTAGCAGGAGTGAGATCCAAAGCTTGGTTTGACTCCCCAGTGTGCACTTGCTACTACAGCTGCCTGCTCCCCAGGTGGGCTGATTTGGGTGGTCTAAATGATTCATTAAATTTGAACCAAGGTTTGGGAAGGGGATCCTCTAAGTCTCAAACTGTTAGATGGAAATAATTGTTCTTTGGATTGTTTTCTTTCCCCATACACACTTTAGGGCACTGTCAGGCATGGTTGAGAATCTAGGTGAGTGGGACTAACATAAAAAGCAAGAAGCTGTTTCCTAGAATAGGTTCAGTAGATAGTTCTTACATTTTCTCAGAGTGGCTGCCCAGTTGTCCAATCTCCTTCTGAGGACTTGGCTGAGCCTCACTTCACAATAAAGGCTTTATTATCTGAATTTCAGTTTGCTCTCAATATGATGCTCCTGCAGAGATTATATTAATAACCTTGATGCAAACACTGGAGACATGGAAAGTGTAACCCAATCTCTGCTCAGGAGATTCCAATCCTCAAGACAGAAGGGCCAAGCCATCCATCCAATTGCAAAAGACTCACAATGGAGGCAGCTGACTCTAGCCTGGACTTGACTTGGAATTCATTGAATACCCAGGAGTTAGTCAGACACCTGACCTGGGGTCCACTTTCCAAAGCACTCAGGTTACTGAGATTAAAAAGCAGCCTGCGGCACTGACCAACAGCCCAGCAGGACCTGTGTGTGCGTGTGCGTGCGGGGCGGGGGGGGGGGGGGGGCACAGAAAAAAGACTTACTCAGAGCACCTAATTTAGAGTTCTGATATTCTTTTACATAGTGCTCTGTTAATATTCCTGAGAGAGCTCTGCCTTGCCACTCCAGTTTCAGGGTATGAGTGCAATTCAGCCTGAGTCCCCCACCCTCATGGTTTTGGTGGGTTTTGTTATTGTTGTTGCTGTTTTATCTTAGATTGCTTGTTATAGACTTGTAATAACGCACAAAAGATAGAAAACAAACAGATGTCTGTATAATTTTTATAATGTGTACATCTCCTTGATCATTGAATGAACTCTTCTATGTCAGTGA